CCCCACAATCCGCAGCCCTGATCGAATAGCCCTTCATCTTACACTCCCAACCCCCCCACTCTGGCGTTAACCCCCTCACTCCCAGTTTGTCAAGAACATCCAAATTTGCCAATGAAGGCCCAAGGTCATGGAAACATGAGGAATAGGAACAGGAGGAAGCCAATCAGCCCCTCGAGCCTGTTCGGCCATTCTACAAGATCATGGCTGACCCCAATTACCCGCCTTTCGCCCCTTGATCCCTGAACCCCCACAAACATCTAAACACTTCAGCCTTTGAAGAGGTCCAAGAGGTGATCTGAACTGTCGACTCCAATTATCCTGAGATTTTAGCTCAAATTTGTTATTTGATTCAGTCACAAGTTCCTGTTGTGTGTGTGTGTGTCACTCCCCGTTTACCCGTCACACCCCCCTCACCCCGTTTCCCCCCCAAATCCCGGGCTGTTTTTCCCAACTCCCTTGAAAGGTCTCCCATTCAAACCCATAACACCATGAAGCAGAGATCCGGGACTCCATGTAGTAAATGGGATGAGTTCTCACCCAACCCTCAAACCCCCTCCATCAACCCCCTCCCTCTCAACCCCCGGCCCCACACCTCTGGTTTGTGTGTCTCGGCCCATTCACTGTTTGTATTGTATCACAATCCTTTTTATTATTAAACAAACACGGTTAGACTTTTACATGTTTATCTGCGTTCACGTGACTGCGCTCACGCACACGCACAGAGACTCTCACGCACACGTGACACTCTCTCACGTCGGACACGGACACACACACGGAAACCCGTCACCGTGACCAGGGAATCCAACAACAACAACAACACCACCAACAACATCAACACGGGTTTGTTAAAGGCAAATCATGTGTAACAAACCTGATAGAGTTTTTGATGCAGTAACGGAGAGGGCGGGTGAGGGCAGTGCAGGTGATGTAGTTTATATGGATTTTCAAATGGCTTTTGATAAAGTGCCACATAAGAGACTTGTCAGCAAAATCGAAGCCCCCGGTATTAAAGGGACAGTGGCAGCGGATACAGAACTGACTGGGAGACAGAGAGCAGAGAGCGGTGGTGAATGGTTTCTTTTCTGACCTGAGGGAAGTGCAGTGGTGACCCCCAGGGGTCGGTATTGGGGCCACTGCTGTTTGTGATCTATATAAATGACTGGACTTGGGTTTAGGGAATACAATTTCCACATTTGCAGATGATACTGAGCTGGAAAAGTAGTAAACAGTGAGGAGGATAGTAACGACTGCAAACGGACACAGACAGACTGGTAACGTGGGCAGACACGGGGCGGATGGAGTTTAATGTGGAGAAATGTGAAGTGATGCATTTGGGAGGAAGAATGAGGAGAGACAATATAAGATGATGGTATAATCTTAAAGTGGGTGAAGGAACAGAGAGACCTGGGGGTCATATAGTAAATCTTTGAAGATGGCCGGACAGGGAGTTAAAGCTGTTAATAAAGCGTCCGGGATACACGGCTTTGTAAATAGGGGAATAGAATACACAAGTCAGGAAGTTATGATGAACCTTTATATAAAGCACTGGTGAGGCCTCAGCGAGAGACTGTGTTCAGTTCAGGGCCCCACACTTTAGGAAGGATGTCAAGGCATTGGAGAGGGAGCGAAGGAGATTTCCCAGAATGGTACCAGGAATGAGGGACTTCAGTGATCGGGAGAGGCCGGAGAAGCCGGGATTATTCTCCTCGGAGCAGAGAAGGTTAAGGGGAGACTTAATAGAAGTTTCCAAAATGATGAGGGGATTCGATAGAGTGAACAGGAGAAACTGTTCCCACTGGCGGGTGGGTCGGTAACCCGAGGGCACCGATTTAAAATAGTTGTTAGAAGGAACAGAGGGAAGGGGAGCAAAATGTTTTCTCAGTGAGTTGTTGGGATCTGAAATGCATTGCCTGAAAGGCCGATGGGAACCGATTCCATAACAACTTTGAAGTGAGAAGTAGATAATTATTTTGGGACAAGTTTGCAGGGCTATGGGGATAGAGCGGGGAGTGGGGTTGATCAGGGCTATGGGGAGAGAGCGGGGAGTGGGGTTGATCAGGGCTATGGGGAGAGAGCGGGGGAGTGGGGTTGATCAGGGCTATGGGGAGAGAGTGGGGTTGATCAGGGCTATGGGAGAGAGTGGGGGAGTGGGGTTGATCGGGGCTATGGGGAGAGAGTGGGGGAGTGGGGTTGATCGGGGCTGTGGGGAGAGAGTGGGGGAGTGGGGTTGATCAGGACTATGGGGAGAGTGGGGGGGAGTGGGGTTGATCAGGGCTATGGGGAGAGAGTGGGGGAGTGGGGTTGATCAGGGCTATGGGGAGAGTGCGGGGGAGTGGGGTTGATCAGGGCTGTGGGGAAGGAGTGGGGTTGAATTGGAAGCTCTTTTCAAAGAGCCGACACACACACGATGGGCCGAATGGCCTCGTTCTGTGCTGTACAATTGCACGACTCTGATTCTGGTGTATAGACAGACTGGAGAAATGGGCAGATAAGTGGCAGATGGAGTTTAATCTCCAGGGAGACGGATGAAGCAGGAAGTGTTGATTCTTTGAAGCACAGATTAGTTTTCCTTCTGTTCTGTGTATGATTTCTATCAACAACAACAACAACACGGTCGAAGAGGAACGTTTTCAGGCGGCACTTGAAAAAGGGGTGAGAGGGGGCAACATAGAGGGATTGAGGGGGAGTGCTCCAGAGTTTTGGGGTGTAGGGGCTGAAGGAGTGACCTCCGATGATGGGGTGGAGGGCACGAAGAATGAGCCCTGGTAGTGGATTGGGGAGTGAGGAGGTCGGAGGTAGTGAGGTGCTGGAAACCATCACTGACCATCAACAACAAGATTGCATTTATAGAGCGCCTTTCACGTCGGGAGGACGTCCAAGGCGCTGTACAGTTGGGTCAGGACCCGAGCATTGGGGGGAAATGGTCAGGGTGAGGGGAGGGAGGGGGTGAGGGGAGGGAAGGGAGGGAGCGAGGAGGGGGGAAATGGTCAGGGTGGGGGGAGGGAAGGGAGGGAGCGAGGAGGGGGTAGAGAGTCGAGAGCGGAGCTGAAGGCTGAAGGTCAAAGAGAAAGGTTTTGAGACCGGCCTTGAAGGAGGAGAGGGAGGAAGCGGCGAAGGCACTGGGGATGGAGTTCCAGAGCCTCGGGGCTGAGAGGCTGAAGGCCACCGATGGTCAGGCGGTTGGGGCGGGGGATGGGGGGCCGACCGGAGCCAGAGGGACGGAGGGTACGTAGGTCGGAGAGGTAGGAGGGAATGGCCTTGTAGGTGAGGATGAGGATCTTGAATTCGATCCTCTGGGGGATGGGGAGCAGTGGAGGCGAGCGAGGGCGAGGGTGAGGGCGAGGGCGAGGGTGGGAGTGAGGGTGAGGGCGAGGGTGGGAGTGATGTGGTCGCGGTGTCTGGTGCGGGACAGTACAGGAGCTGCAGAGTTCTGAATGACCTGCAGTGTGGAGGGAGAGCCGGGAAGGCCGACGAGGAGAGTTCCCATAGTCCGGCCTTGAGCTGATAAAGGTGTGGACCAGAGTTTCAGCCGCGTGAGGGGTGAGGTAGTGCCGCAGTCTCTGGCGATGTTCCGGAGGTGATGGAAGGCGGTGCCAGTTGTGGTGTGGATATGAGGGAGAAAGGACAGCTCAGGGTCGAGGGGAACCCCGAGGTTCCTGATGGCTTTGAGAGGTGGAGAGTGCGGAGCTGATGCCGTCAGCGCCTGAGGTGCGGAGGCGCTGACGTGAGCCAATCCGGAGGGCCTCAGTTTTACGCATCAAACCTAACACTCAAACGCTTAACCCGCCTTAACTCTCCCACCTCACGAGTGTTAGAGCGAGACAGACACACGCGTGTGCGCGGTGTTATAGAGACTGTGTGTGTGTGGGAGTCTGTATGTATGTGTGTGTGAGCCAGTGAGTGGGCGCACACAACGCGCATTACTTAAATGCTTTAAATAATAATTGGTCGCTCACTGCGCGGGTGTTTGTGGGGGCACTGCTGTGCACAATTGGCTGCTGCGTTTCGCCCGCAAAACCGTCACTAGATTTTTGTGGAGTCCTGTGGTTTACTGGTCACAGCACTCCAGACCCGCGTTCGATTCCAAGGCAACAGTGAGTGTGTGAGTGACTACACCTGAGGCCGAGTGGTGAGAGGGTAATCACTGGTCACCCCCAGTTCATGCCTCACGGGGCAGAGGGAGCGGGCGGGTTGACATGGGGTGAGCAGGTCTCGGGGGGGGGGGGGGGGGGGGGGGGAAGGCCAGGGAGGGCTTTGTGTGAGGGTGAGGTGGGATCGTGTCAGCGCAGAGCTCTCCTGCCCAGGAATCGACCCATCGACTCAGCGCCCGGCCCCCACTTGGCCCCCAATCGCCCCTCAGACCAACCCCACAGGAGGACAGCGTTGGCGGAGTTTAAAGAGCCGGACAGACGGCCGCGGCAGGTCTGCCCTTTGGTAAATATCCTTTATTACTTGCGTTGCAAAATACGAGAAAACCAGTTACAGTATCAAAATAGCACAGAGATCGACACCGAGAACAGCGCCACAAGGTCCGACCTTCCAGCACTGACGGGAGGAGAGGAACAGGACTCGTCCGGGTCACTGGTTGCGGGAGGTGGACATTTTACACGTGGTCAACAGATCGAGCCTGGCCCATCCCTACTTGGTGTATTGTTGTTTTTTTGGGGGGGGTTTAAGTCAGACTAAAGGTACAGAATAGCGTTTCACTAATAAAAGCTCAAGAGGAACCTCTCATCCTGCAATTGGGAAAAAAGCCACAAAACAGTTCGATCTACACTGACCCGAGTCCTTCAGTGACTATAGAAAAATAGGTGAGCTGTTTTATGCAGCGATTGACTCACAGAAGGCGGACGATTATCCCTGGAACCCCCCCCCCCCCAACCTGGATGGGTTCAGCACCGGTTCCAGCTCTGTGGGTCATCAAAGTCCGGCTACATCCATGTACGTATGTAACACACATTAAACATTGCACACACACACACCCCCCAAGATGGAGGGGAGAGGAACAAGACAAAGTGACCCCAACGTCCAGGCTGAGGCATTTCTCCCCGGCGTTCGGCTTAAGAGGTTCTGCTCACATCATGGCCTACCGCACAGTTAGTTTCTCTGGTCAGTTTGCAGCAGCACTAGGAAAGATTTAAGGGGGGGGGGGTCTCGTTGGCCTGGCTACCCGTGCGGGAACTCCCACCTCCCCCCCCCCTCAGCCCAGCCATGTGTAAAACCCACAACAAACCCCCTACAGCGAGGTGGACAAGGCTCGAACTGCGCGGTATCAAATGCCACCAGTTGGCACGTCTCCCGATGTGAACACCACCCTCCCTCCCCCTCTCTCGGCAGTCAGTCAGTCAGTCAGTCCCAGCGACAGCCGCTACTCGACAGTAACTGGTTGATCAACGGGTTTGCAAAGTGCGGCAGTTTCGAAGGAGAGCAGGTTCTCGGGAGCGATGACCGAAAGCAGAGCAACTCACTCACTCGCAACACACACAGAGGCCGTCCAAACCAACCAACCCGTCAGCTCAGCTCCAGAACACTGCGGTTTACAGCCGACTGCAACTAGGGCTGTAATGACCTTTTTTGGGGGGGTGGGGAGGGGGTCTCAAAAAGAGCTTTTGTCGGATATTATTTGCCCAACAAGACGTTGGATCCGTTTGCTCCCCAGTAACTCTGCAGTCTGGCGGGAGAGGTCTGGTCCGGGGGAAGAGCGGGAAAGCTTTGCCATGGCTCGGCTCTTGTTGTAGCCCCCAAATCCTACCCCAACCTCCTTCACCAGCGGGTGTCACAGCTCGAAAGAAAAATCAGCCGCGATGCGTATCGGTGAAAAGCCTAAAACAAAAGGCTCGACTCCCTCCGTTAAATATGCAACATCATCTAAGAAAAAACACCTACCTTTTTAAAGGTGCGTCCAGCACTGAATAATCCTGTTAAAAATTAATTAATCCTTGCATTTTATTTCCCGGTAGCACAAATGTCGAGCTTTTACGTGGTATGGGGAGATCCGGCAACAGCCACTGATGTTTGTCAGGAAAACCCATTAAAGAATCCACGTTAACTGAGCTCAAAAGCATCAAAATAAAAGCACCACAGAATGTAGAGGCGAAGTTTAACCCGTCTCTGAACAAGAACTGGGGATAAAACGGGGTTTAACAACTCGGCGTTTTCTGTGGCAGAAGGGAACCCACTTTCAGAGGTAACGGCTCCATTCAGTTCCCTTCAACTAGTTTTCAGGTGGAGTCGATATATCAGGTAGGAGTCATCCATAGAACCGAACGCAGTTTAAAACGCTCAGCCATTAATTTCCCTGCAAATGGAGCTATTGTGTAGCTGCGGTGAATTGCCGGGGACATATCTAGATTGTACTGCTCAGGAAATGTACCCCATGGGGAAAAGAGAGGGAGGGAGAGGGGGAAATAGCCGAGCACTTGATTGGAAACCAGCTGAACGGATTAGAATCTATTCTGTACAAGAACCAACAGTGGAGCTGTGGTCAATGAGCCTCTCTGCTGACCCCGACAAAGCAAGACGCACACACACACACGGACGACTGAACTGGCTACAGACGCAGACTCCCTCACCACAAGCAAACATCCCTGTTCTTTCCCCTCCTGAAAAATTCTCCTTCTCAGTAACAATAGCGGGGTTTAACTGGACGCCACAGTGATCCACACCTCACTAGGTTTCAAGAATTCATTCCAGGGGTTCCAGTGTTTAAATGGTATGTGGGGAGGAGAGGAGACACAACTCACCGGAGCGTGGATTCTAAAAGTTCCGGTCGGCCCAGATTTATACACGTCTTTAGTGGAATAACCATCACACGTCAGCAAATACACCATTAAAAAAACACACACACGTGGCAAAACTGTACTTGATGGTACGTGTACTTTTTTAAAAAAAAAGTGATTTAATCTTCAACGTTTCGTTGCTTTTTTCTGATCTGAGCCAAACTACCCCTCCTCTGAAGGCCCGTACTAGCCAGTCACAAAGCACACACACACGCAAAAAAAAAACCATGTAGGCTGACAACTGACAAGACTTCCTTCAGGTTGACACAAGAAAACACTGAGACAAAAAAAAACAACCTACCTTTTATATAAAAGAGTGGATAAGGGGCAATTTTTTTTTGTTTTAAAAATTATAAATCAAGAGGATGGGAGGGTCACTGCAGGAGCTCAAAGCAAACACGTTCCGCAAACACAAGAGGGCTCAAAATTCGAGCACTGATTCCAGCGATCGGTTACCTTTCACCGAGTGAGTGAGTGATCAGCGAGTGCGGCTGTACACCATGATTTATTTAGCATTAAATCGACAGGCGAGCGAGTCAGTACGTACGGTGTCTGGATTCAGCAAGCTTCAAGAGAGATCAGATCAGCCCGCATTCGATCACTGGTGTCAGCCTCGCGCTCCCTCTCTCTCTCTCCCCCCTTCGCACACACACAGCACCATAATCGCGGGAAAACAAATCAAAACCCCCCCCACCCCAAAATAAAAATAATGGAAAATTGGACGCTATTGTACAGGTTACTTTTTTTTTCTCTCTCTCTCCTCGTTAAACTTTTACTCTTCAGTAGAAAACAGAGTTGATCCCTAAGCCTCTATAAACTGGGGGAATAAAATGCAAATGCTTCTATATAAAAAAAATCAAGATTATTTCCTGGCTGTACCTTGTTGAGGGGGAGGAGGGGGGGGAGGGGGGTATTGATAGCCGGCCTGGGTCATGTAGCTCAGCAGTGACCCGCCCTGCTGGAAGGCCTGTGCTAGCAGTGGTTGTGGCTGTTGGCCTAGCCCGTTCTGCCTGGACAGTAGGCTTGAGGCCTGTGCCGTTCTCCCCGCAGTTGTTGAGGATGAACTCCCGAAGGTGGCCGAGCCATACGTGGCCCCCGCAGTGCTAGCCGGATACCCAGCGCTCGCAAAACTACTGGCGGCGTTGGTGGCCTGGAAGCCCCCCGCCTTCCCGAAGGCCGTGGAGCCTGGGGTCCCGAAGATGCTTTGGGTGGCCCCCCCGTACACCCCGCCCTGGGTGAAGTTGGGGTACTGGGTGGAGGTTTGGGTCCCAAATACGCCGCTCCCGAAGGTGCTGGTCTGCTGGGTCGAGCGGAACCCCTGGTCCCCGCTCTCTCGCTGCCCCCCAAACCTGCCCCTGCCATCCCCCCGGTCCCTCCGGTCGCTGTCCAGGTCTCGGAATCGGTCTCCTCGCCGCCCGCGGTCTCTGTCCTCGCGGTACATGGTGTTGGGGTTGGAGCCGGACGGGCGGTAACGAGATCGACCTCCTAAAGGATGGAGCGATGAGAGAGAGGAGCGAGAGAGAGGGGGAGCGAGAGGGAGAGAGAGAGGGAGGATGAGTGTGTTGCACTGGGTTCAGACTAGGACTAGGCTGTTACTCTCATCACCAGCAGAAGCCCCACTGACGCCAATCACCTCAGCACAAACCTGGACACAGCTACAAACCATCAGCGCATTTAAGAGAAAACTTGACGCGTACACAAGGGAGAGGGAAGACAACACATTTACATGATGCCCTTCACCTCGCGAGGCTGTCCCAAAGCTCTGGGAATAGAGGTAGGTATAAGTCAAGGGAAGGCTACAACACCAGCGTGGACTGGTTGGGTCAAAAGGCCCGTTTCTGTGCCGAACCACTCAAAGCGAAAGGTTTTAGAAAAGACTTCTTTTCATTCACTGAAAGAACAGCCTCTGACAATATGCGTCTGTTGTCTGGACTCGGTTGGCTGAGACCAAATACTGATGTCAGGCTCTCTCTAGAGAGATGAGGAGGACCAGGACTGCCTTGACCGTTTCATCAGCTCTTCTCAATGTTAATTAATAGTCAAGTTCAACTTTCAGATCAAAGCTATGGAGCTATAGTGTAGTTACAGCACTCGCCTCGCAAGCGAGAGGACTTGGGTTTGATTCCCAGGCAGGGAAGTTGCCTTACTCCACACACAATGCTGCTGTTTACCCAACAGAAGGTAGGAACCCGGTGGTTAGTCGATTGGTGGATCACTTTCTGGGGGTAATAATCCCTTCAAAATAAATAAAAATGTGGCCACTCAATCCATGACTGCTGGGCACAATTGGCTGCTGTCAATACAATTCACGGTATATCCTGTGAAGCGCTTTGAGACGTCTCAACGACCTGATAATAATAATAATCCTTGCACTTGAGTTGGGCCTTATCAAGTCTTGTGTGTGATAAGGCGCTGTATCAAATGCAAGGATTATTGTCAACAGACGGGAGGTGAACACACACAGTTACCTCTGCTGGTTCCTCTGCCGTGATCCACAAGTTGCAGGAGTTTGGGGTTGATAGCCTGATGAGCCTCCTCCAGCACCTTGATCAGCTCTCTGGCTTGCTTGACGTTGCCGGGGGTGAAGAAGGTGTAGGCCGTGCCCTTGTTGGTGCTGCGGGCTGTTCGGCCAATGCGGTGCACGTAGTCCTCAGAGGAGTTGGGGTAATCGTAGTTGATGACGAACTTGATGTCCTCCACATCTGTAAGAGCAGAATTGCAGTGTGGTGTGGAGAGACGGGGAAATGTGCCCAGTGAACACAGCACATACAGCACACACCACAACAGCCAGGCAGACAGACAGACAGAGAGAGAACAGTTAGAACAAGGTTCTGATGATCGAGCAATCCATGCGACATTGCATTAACACTTGGATCCCTTCACATGCATAGTGCTTAAGCCCACACCATGCTTTGAAGCCACGACGTACTGGACAAGAGACACGTATAGAAAGAGCTATGCGGACCGAACGGTCTTCAATCAATGTACTCCAGCTCATGGTAGAGCTACAACTCCCCGTGGGTTTCCCCTGCGCTTAAGTCTCGCTCCTAGATATTTCAATCCACATGGTTAAGCAGAACATCACTCACTTTGGAGACCAGAAGTTGGGACAGATCGCTTAGCACCACAGTACAGCCCTGACTGATCAGTCTTCTGTGCAACTGGGCACCTCAATAGCTACGGCTCACACACCGACTAACTTAATTTAGCCGAACTGGGATAATAGCGGCATTCACAGAATCTACCACGAGTCTTTTCTTTTTTTTGGCAAGAATGCAGAAATTTCAATGTTAAAATTCTGTCGGGGATATTTACTTCCGTTTCCAATGCTCATTTCGAATGCTCATTTCTTTCTAAAGCCACAGATGCGCCCCCGATGACATCAGCCGCCCGGACACAGAGGGTTAAGTTCCGCGCCACCAGTCTCCATATGTACAATCACTCAAGCCATAGCGGTAAGCCACTCTACCATGACGGCCACAGTGCAGTAACTAGATCTTACACATCAGTGACATTTCAAGTAGACCCTGTACCTGACCCTTGCTGCCCCAAACACCCGAGATTCAATGGCTAAAGTCATTAGCCTACAGCAGTAACTCTAATGGGTGCCTTCTACCCCTCTTGATTCCAACCCCCAGCTCGGGTCAAATCCCTGACTGTCCAGAGCCTTGGGACGTCCTCCCGACATGAAAGGCGTTGTGTAAATGTCATCTGTCGTTAGCGCAATGCGTACAGAAATCAACTTGCCCTGGCGATCATTCACACCTTTCTTGGCTAGGGTTAGGTTCACTGCCATTTAATTGGATTTTTGAAAAAGCCTTTATAGGGAGGGAAAAAAAATCTCTATATATTATATATATTAATTATAATATATATAATACATAAAAATAAATAACCTTTATCAAATAACACAGTAGACGATATCCATCAAGGTGAAGATATGGTCACAGAGCATCACAAGTTACTTTCTTATTTTCCACATCACAGAATAAGGTTATTACTACTTTGCACAAAATATCTTACCAAAACTCGCATCAAGAGGAGCACTCCGTCAGAGAAGGCACAACATTCCCAGGCATTGTCGTCAGATCCAAACAAATCAGTCTGTCATCTTGATCTGCCAAATCCTTTAGCAAATATAGCGAGGCAGATTTCACCCATTAAGAGCTTCAAATAGAAAATCATTTAGATTGGCATGGAGCCTGACATGTGAGGCACACACGTGGGCAGGAAGCACACACGCGTGTGCTGGAGTTTGTCTCAATTGGGGGGGGAATATTCAGCAGCTCTATAAAGGAATGCTCCTCCGACACAAACCTCTAGAGATAAAGTAACTTGCACACCCGGGTCAGGGTTAAAAATTAGCGTAACATTACTGGGCCAAGGCTGACGAGAGGGCCAGATCTTCAATCTTTCCGCCTAAAAACTCGCCAGGCTCGGTCGCGACAATACAGCAACCACATCCCTACTATAACACGCTTCTGTTCCCGGCCATTAGCCCAAGAAAAAAGAATCCTGGGCTGATAGCGACTGACCACTAGTATTAATTAGCAAGACCACAGATAAGGTTTCTGTACATCGTTCAGATGCCGCCCACTTAACGGGCGAGGAAGGAGATTTTTCTGATTGGAGGACTTTGCCTTTCCCACCCACACAAACCCCCTCCCAAACAAATGCCAGCCATTAAACACTGGCACCTTTCATTGCAAACTTCCAATGTGAACAATATTCCCATGCACTACACCGCTGGCAGTCAAACAAAATACGCAGTCACTACACTTTACAGTATGTTCTGTGAAGCGCTTTGAGACGTCCCAACGACTTTGATAAAACGCTGTATCAAACACAAAGATTATTATTATTCTAACATCGAATTAGAAATAGACTGCACCAGGAAGTGTGGATAATTTCTAACCCTGTTACGAGGCCTAGGTTTAAAAACATATAATTTATTTTTATGTAAAAAAAAACACTGCTCACTTTAGTAAACTCTTTTGGCTTTGCTTCCAAAAAAACAAATCTGCATTTCAAACAGATGGGGTGATATCCACCATAAGATACAGATTTTCCTCCCTTCTCTCTCTTTTTTTAGCGAGTGGGTATTTACCAGTCCGATGCACACTCCCTCCATCGCACCGCCGTGTCCAATCTCGTCTCTCTGGATCTGGCGGTGTCCTTTCGACCTCCGCGCTGCGACGCGGGACCAATGGAGCTGGGAGAGCATGCATCGAGGATTCCCTTGGAGCGAGAAGTCCCCACACGCTGTGACGGCTGGCTGAGCGCTTCTCTGTAGCCTGGCTTTCGTGTGGCATCGGAGGACTGTAGTTGGCCTTAAATAATAGTCCTCCAACCCACGCTCTCCAGGACACAACGGGACACAGATGCCAGGCCACGCTGCATCTATTGCCCAGACCTCTTAAGATTGTTACGTTTGTTTGGTTTTTTTTTTCTTTCTCTCTTTTTTTGGAAGAGAAATTGAAGGGAAACTATTTGTGGAGTCTGTTTCTCATTACAAAAAAAATACGTGGCTGCCGAGGTTTCCATTGCACTCTTAACTTTCTATTTCAAATGGGGAGAAGGGAGCATTAATAGACGGGAGAGGGATTGATTATTCAACTCAAGACAGTCAGAGAGAAAAGAGGAAGGAAAAAAAAACAGAAGACTCGACAGGTATGAAAAGTGTACACAGTGGAAAAATGGAAACAGTTTTTATATCACAGCACATATTGGACAGACAGGTAAACAGATACCTAGAAATTAGGAGCTTAAGAGGCCACCTACAGTCTCTCCCAAGAGCAAAGCTTACCCATCACTGAAAAATTACATGATCGCTTTGTGTCCCACTGTATAGTTACTGGTGATAACCTCCTCAGGAACTCACAAGTTAGATATCTTTCTCTCGCTCAGCCCAGGAGGTTCCCCCTCTATTTCGGGCGGCCACCAGAATTGCCTGAGGTACTGCCTACTCAAAGCAGCATATTCACAACCTCCCGAGTCGGCTAGTTGTTGGATCGGGTGAGCAGAGATCCTGAGAAACCTGGCGGGAACCAGTGATGGGAGTCTAATGAGCTGCCCGTAGATTTGAACCTTCTATTGTTGTGACGGGGCATCAAAACCCCTCAGGGTAATCGCTGGGACAGAGCAGGAGGTCACCAATAATCCCGTTACTTACACCTGCCCGGTGTGTGTAAACTGTGCAGTAATGTGAGTAACTGTCCCATGGCTGAGTTAGGTGAGGATGCACTATGTGGGAACTCTGGACCTTAGACAAGACAGTACTACAGGCAAGTTCCATGCGTTGCTGTACCGAGCAGCCAGGCTGTAGCAGTGTGCGGTACTCGAACAAATCTACGGAAGGTGTACAATGGAACAAGATGGGGCTCTGTTTTTCTCGTACTGGGTTTGACAGCAGCCCATTTCCCTGGGCAATGAAAAGCTGTTGGATTAACAAACGTAAGGACATGAAGGACAAGGCCTGCTAAACGTCAGAGAACAGTGGCAGGAGATGCACCTCGTATCGACCGGCACAGGCAAGAACACCAGCGGTATCAGAGATGTGGAGGCCTTTAGTGTACACCAGGCAATTCTTTCCCAGCAGATGATACAAGGTTTAAAGATGAGGACAGAAGTATGTTGAAGAAGGGAGAGGAGATGTAGTTTGGAGCCTATTGTAAAAAAAAGCCTCTTAATAGTACAGAAAAGGTCCTTAGCTGAAGTATGTCATGTCCCTCCACCAGCTTGCGGTAGTCTCAACACCCACGGACATTATCAATGGTGGGCGGATTGCCCGAAAGACTTTCAAATGGAGCTGCACGTGGGGAAGGTGTGGGGTATTAGCTATTCTTCAACTCTACACGACGCCACAATTCGCAGAGAAAGTTTTATACAAAGTGCAATGTTTAGACCCCTGGAACACACGTCTTCGGGGAAAGGAGGTGGGGGGGGGGGGGGAAAAAGAGGGTCGTCACTGGATAATTTGTTAAGCTCTCCCACCGCCCCCCACCCGCTCCAGAGAGTGCCCCCAGCCGGCTTTTGTCAGGGCACATTTTATGGCCGGACTGATTGGAATGGATTGGTAACAAGAAACAGACTGCGGACCTTGTTTGTGAAATAGTTCCTCAGTGATTTTTGTTTTAAAGTTCGTATCAAACTCTCACAACGTCTAGGCAAGATGCAGTGAGAAGCGATCCACTCGTTCCTACCTCAAAACCGTATCTTTTTTTTATATACGCAGCCCGCTTGTCGGGCAGCGAAAACCTTGGACAGGCCCAGGAGCTACCCTAGACAGGCCCCGACATGACGTCCTGTGAAGGTGAGGGAGATACTTGGCAATGCTTAGCAATAGGGGTTTCACAGCAGTTGAGTGTATATATAAACTGGGCTGGACCGTGTTACTCCACTTCGACAGAAACCAATCACCCTGCGGATCGCAACGCAGAGCCGTGAATCCACCGCAAATTTTCCAGATGGATCACCCGGGGCGACTGAGCAGGGAGTTTCTCTCACAGTCTCTCGCTAAGAATGAACAAATTGTTCCAATTCAAGGTTCCCCATTAAGGGACATTCATTTCACCACAAGACACTTGCACGTAACTCTTATTAAATGCCAATGGCTGCGTGTGTCCTTACCCTACGTTAAACAAACTAACCACTCTAATCATTCCTACGTCACTATTAGTTGCAATGCCCATTAAAGGGGAGGTTAATTTGGAACAGTTCATCCATCTCAGTCTGAAGCGAGTGGTGTCAGTAACGGTCAGTCCATGATTGTCTTTCTATCTACGTCAGTGGCTAGACAGGTCAATCTCTAGCTCCCAACCACTGAACGAACGTTTGACTGCAGAACCGCTCTGTTGTAGAAACAGGGTTCGGTGTGAAACCCCTAACCAGCCGACAATTTTTCCACACGCCCCTATTTCAGCAGAAAACCAATTGGCCATGATGTTGAATTGAATTTGGGGGGAAATGAAAGGGAATCGTCAGATTTAAACAGTGGGGGGGGGGGCGATAGGGGGGGGGGAGAGTGAGTTTTAGCTCCGCTGTCAATTTGTCTTGGTGGTTGAAATTGGCTTTGTGCTGGTTTGAATGAACAGGGTTTCAGATAAAGCCACTTTTGCCTGTAAAACACTGAAATCCAGCTGAGCAAAGTGAGTGTTCTAATAAAATCTCAAACAGGTGTCTCCCGCAAGACTGAGGTTGTATGGGAGAACTGACTGATCTCGTATAACTGAACCCCCTCCAGTCTCCCAAGGGGGGGGGGGGGGGGGGGAGAAAAGAATCACTTCCTACCTGAATAAGGTTTCAAACCTCTGGGATAGCTGCCAGCCAAGTACTGATGATCTGCCAGTCTACTGCTCCATTTAAGAGCAGCTTCTTTCAAGTACCAAAGTACTTTTTAAGCCAGAGAGAATTTCAAGAGCAGTCACTTCTAGGGAGGGAGGGCTCTTCGGGTTTGTGTTAATTAACACGTTAACAGCCTAACCAACCTTAACCCTGACAGAACTGGCACTCCCTCGATACCGGAGCAAACAAACCCAGGGACTAGACTTGAAAGGTTTTCATGCTGCTTCTAAATCCATTACCAGTGCCCATATTCTAAATGGGAGCCCAGCAAATCTGGTTAACACTAGATGGACTGACTGGCCACACTGGGCTGCAACTAATGAACCTTCTCACACAGAAACTAGTACAAAGAACCAGTCGGGATATAAAGCGAGTGTTGACTCCAGGCCGTGGTGTGAGCATCCTGACTAGCTCCTGTACATTAAGGCTCCGGCTTCATCATAATCATTCAACACCTCTGCTGCACACAGGCTCCTTTTACCAGCCTTGGGGCATATTAAAGCCGGCAAAGTGGTCTAAAACACCCTTACTCAGCTTGGAGGGGGCAAACGTTACCAACTGTAGCTCAATCTGGCAGATCAGGGAGCGTGCCACCGGTGCCTTCTCTATTCTGCACCAGCTGTTACACTTAATACACCTTCAGGGCACTCATGGGCCAGGAAGGGGTTAAACGCATAACACTCCATATTTAGCGTCTCCGATAAAATCCCGCCCTGGGAGGCTAAAGCTTACCCGAAGACCCCCGTTACAGCTGTCTCTTCTTCCTGATCAGCCCAGGCCGGAGCGCTGGCTCTACACTGAGAGGTGAAGCTGGATTCAGTTGAGGAACAACATTATCTGAAGACCCTATTTATTTTAAGGAACCAGCCTGCTGCAGAGGTTACTGCCAGGGCCAGGCCGGGGGGGTGGGGTTGGGGGCAAGCATTGATCTGAAGATCCCCCACAGCATTAATTTTTGGACAGCCAGCCCAGCGCACAAGGGGTTAAGACCCCCCATGGTAAGGCTTAAGCTTGGGTTTATGTAGGTGGCGGTAGTTGGATATCTCCTCTCCCTCTTGGTGCTCGTTTTGTCATGCCTAGGCCTTGTCGCAGGCCTGTACCTTAACACAAAAAAAAACACAAAAGAGACATTTTAAACAAAAGCGAATCGAGTCACACTTTTTTTTCAAGAAAAAAAAAGCTCGTGGGGGGAAAAAAATCACGCTGGACTTATAATAAAATATAAAATCATTTCTCGATCAATTTAGGAAAATCTGGTAGAAATTCGCTGTGCAAGGTATATTTTTTTCTCTCTCCTGTGAACAAGTCAAGTACAAACCTAGACCACGAGAGGCAACGTCAGTTGCTATAAGGATCGGAGCCTTTCCTGTCCGGAATTCTGTAGAGGAGAAAAGCAACCCATTACCCACAGACCCAAGTCAGGGTTAGAGACACAATAAAGTTCACTCAATCAACCACTGTTTGTGGGACAAAAAATACAGTCGCTGCACTTTACATTTTGTGAAGAGTTTGCAATGTCTCAATAATGTGATGAGGTGCTGTATCAAACACAAGGATTATTATTATCATCATCACAGGACATCTGCAGGCTCTTTCAACTTAAAGCCACACAGCACTGCTATTTGGGAGAGAGATCGGACAGGGAAATGAAAAAGGCCACACATGCAATCAGCCAAGTCACCAGAGTAGCGTTAAGTGATATCTAGCTTTCTCCAGTTAGGGGCCTATTCCGCTGACTAACTTGGTCCTGGTCGACAGATGGCAAGTGAGGTCACGGCAGGAAAGTATAGATGACCACGGTCTTTGGTAGCAAGTTAAGTACGGTCAAAGCAATTGGAAGGTTTGCACTAACTTCACTAAGATCAGCTAATGGGAAATAAGCGAGTAGTGCAAACCACATTGGTGTCACTTTGACAATCACACAGGATCTATCGCAATGCCACAGGAAGGAATGGTGCAAACAACTCTATACACAGTGAAGAATCATTCAAGTTTGAACTTGTCTTATTGGATTAGAATTGTCACCCATAAAGCCAGGAGTCACCAAGTTAATTATTAACTGTTAATAATTAGTTAAGTTTCGGGAAAGGCACTATATAAATGTAATTTATTGTTGATTATATTTTTATTAACTTACCCGTGAACAAAGGCTAAACTGTGACCAAGAAAAGTTTAATGGCACTTAAATGGGACAAACTGTAGATCTCACAAATGTTTCGCCCACAAAATGTTTGTAGCCACATTAGCTACAAGTACACAGAAAAGCTATATGCAACTGGGAATCAGCATGGGAAAAGGCAAAGCATTCCTTACCATTGAGAACCCAGTCTCTCTCCGGCTGACTTTTGTCTCCATGGATACACATAGCTGGCCAGCTGCAGAGAGAAAAACACTGCCGTTTACTGGCAATTCTCCCGTGTGCTCCAGCACGATTGCTGGGGCTCCAAATAGACATGAGACACATTACAATAAAGCTCCCAACACACAGTCACTATTTCCCCACCAAGTCTGACACCTCCTTGTGACATCTAACACCAGAGAGGAAGGTCAGTAACCTGTCACAACAACATGTACAAGTGAAACCCAGAATAACTTTCCTCTCCTCCCCCAGTAGAATCCTATCTTACCGTGACAGACATCAGGACTGTGATGTCTGTCTGTATCCTCATGGTGGTGGTGGGGGGGGGGGGGGGGGGGAGAAGGGAACAATAGCGGGGAAGAGGTGCACAGTATTATGTGTATATTGTATTGGATATTTTGTGCCAATCTTGAATTTTTCATGTGCTTTCAAATACACTTTTATCGTTATACATTTTGGTTAAAAAAAATCTTATCTCAGCACTGTCCTGCAAACCAAGGTTAGCAACACAGCGTGCAGGAAGTCACAGCAGCAAACTAATGCCCTACCCAATGCAAATTAGATAAGATTTCTTATTTAATATCTTGGGCTACGGTACAGTTTGGGGCCTGACATGTGCATGCAAAGGCTAGGGTAGCGTTGGGTCTTTTGTCTAGCAATCCATACGATCCTATTGATATGTACCCATCTCGCCTCATCCTGCGGGTCAGTTCGTCACAACGCCGCTTTGTCTCCACAAAGATGATGGTCTTGTTCTCTTTCTCTGCCATGATCTCCTCCATCAGATGAAGCAGCCTGCAAGCAAACATACGTTACAGCCAAACAGGACCACAAGGAAAAATAATTATCCATTTGATACTTATCGTGTCGTTGAGACGTCTCAAAGCGCTTCGCAGAATATATTGTGAAGTGTAGTGACTGTTTATTTTGTGGGCAAAACGCGGCAGCCAATTAATTGCGCGCAGCAGTGTCCTATGAACAGGCATGGATTGAGTGACCAAATTATTAGGGTTATTATTATTCATTTTATTTTATGGAGGGATTATTACCCCAAAAAATGACCCGCCAATCGATGAACAACCAGGTTCCTACTTATGCTAGGTAAACAGAGGTGTGTAGAGTGAGGAAACTTGCCCAGCCTGGGAATCGAACCCAGGTCCTTTTGCTTGCGAGGTGAGCGCTCTAACCACTGTGCTACAGGGACTCCAAATCTCCAGGACGTCGGTAATTGGGATTGAAAGGATTATTCTTGAGGGAACTGTCACGGACATGTTGTAAGGTCTAACACACCACAGCAGAACACTCACTTGAGGTCTTTCTCAGTCTCCTGGCACACGTCCACAATCTGCAGGATGTTGTGGTTGGCGCTCAGCTCCAGGGCTCCCACGTTGATCTGTACATAATCCCGCAGGAAATCCTCTGCTAGCTGCCGGACCTCTTTTGGCCAGGTGGCGCTCCACATCAGCGTCTGCCTGTCCGGCTGCAGAAAAATCCATTGGTTTACAGTCGGTGACACATCACCAACAGCGGTCGGGCCTTCAATCTCTCTGCCCCCACCATTTGGAACTCCATCCCACATCTCCTTTGCCTCACTCCCTCCCATACCGCCTTCAAGACCCTGCCTTTGCTCATCCTCCTACCTCCACCCTCCCTGTCCGGCGCCTTGGGATGTCTTCCTGACATGAAAGGCGCTAACAAATGTAACTTGTTGTTCTATCCCACCTCATTACGCAAAGATATCTGCAAAAGCTCTTTCGTTAATGTCACGTGTAACGACCGCTTTTGACAGCAGCCACAAAGCGAGTGACCAATTAAGATGGGAGATTGTCCATTTAAAGAATCCTTACCCTGATCTGATCCACAATTTTCCGGATCTGAGGCTCGAAGCCCATATCCAGCATCCGGTCGGCCTCGTCCAACACCAGGTACGTACAGCGCCGCAGGTTAGTCTTCCCGGCTTCCAGAAAGTCAATTAAACGGCCTGGGGTCGCGATGCAGATTTCCACTCCTAAAGAACAGACAGGATGTCACGTAACATTAGACCCTTTAGGTGGAAGAGACACTGCCACACAGCAACCCAGGCACCGTTTCCACTTCAAACCCTTTCAAGATAACAGCTATAAGGCCCCTGCGTACCTCTCTCCAGGTCCCGGATCTGTGGGCCTTTAGGTGCACCTCCATATATACAGGTGCTCTTTATCCGCGAAGATTTACCGTAGTCCTCTGCCACCAACTGCACCTGCTGTGCCAGCTCTCGAGTCGGTGCTAACACCAAGCACTACAGGCAACGAGAAAACCCAAGAGTCAAACCAAAACTGCGCTTAAAAAGTGCTCACTTGCTTGGTTTCAATAAGTGAAACGTCCAACATAACCTACAAACTTTTCTCCCTGTTGGAGCATGCTAAATGTTACTACTCAATACAGATGAATAGTCACTGGAACCAGACATCATGAAGTGTGAAAGAATGTCCTTTGATCGATATTTTCCTGCTTTGTGGGAGAAACAGCTGCCACCTCAAAGGTGATACACATTCTCTTCCTACAATTATACATTTACAAACACCGATTAAATCAATCATGAAGGGCATTTAGCAAAGGAGAAGGACTTGTCCTGGGACATATTCAGTCCGTGTGAAAGTGACAGGACTGATGGAATGCATTTCACAATGCATCAATTGCCTTGCGAGGGGGTGCAGAAGAATACTGTAGGAAAAAGACTTTCTGTATCACAACACAAAATGGTGCGAGTATCACCGAAATATCTGGAACAGCTACTTCTGGTTCAGCCAAGTTAAATCCACAACTTTACAACTAACCACCCCGGCTAAACACAGACTGTCCGAGTAAGTCTTAAGAATGGAGGCAGTAGCCAAAGTCCACGTCTAAATGGAAGTATAACTTACGATGGGACCATCACCGCGCTCCAGGAATGGCTGGTGATTGATGTGCACAATGGCGGGCAGCAAGTACTGAGGATAAGAACAGCAATTAGTTACACTCAACGCCACTGAATTATTCTCTAAACTTTCCTTAGAGCTGCCACAATAAATAACAACTACACGGCGCCTTTCACATCAAGAGGACTTCCTAAGGCCCTGGACAGTCAGGGATTTGGACCCGAGCTGGGGGTTGGGATCAGAGGGGGTGAGGGTAGGGGTAGGAGAAGGCGGGTTTGAAGAGGAGTTTTGAGGTGCGCCTTGAAAGGAGACGAGGGAGGGAGCAGGGCGAAGCGGCTCTGAGATGGGAGTTCCAAAGGGTGGGGGCAGAGAGTATGAAGGCCCGACCGCTAATGGTGGAGCAGGCTAGGGACGTGGAGCAGGCCGGAGTCTGCTGGGTGGAGGGAGCGGACAGGTTGATACGCCAAGGATCCAACTAGAATTTAACGAGATACCCTTGCATTAGAAATCGAGATACATTAGTAGATACAGTGCTTCCCAATTTCCCTCATCACCCACAGACCTTCCCAGACCAAGTGAGCACTGTACACAGAGGACGTTTCGAGGCACTTACTGCAAGAGTTTTGCCAGAGCCGTCTGAGCGATTCCAACCATGTCACGCCCGGAAAGCGCCACAGGGAAACCCTGGCACTGGATCGGTGTTGGCTCCACAAAGTTCAGTGAGGCCAGGACGTCCATCACATAGGCTGCAACGTGAAAGCACATCATGTAGGTTATCAGTTCGTTGTCCGAAATGGCACGTATCCTTGACATACAAGGGAGTGGTGTTCCATAGAACCATAAACAGCGACGGTAAACATTATTATAATCCGTTACAGATTCAATAGTAAAATCTTAGGGTTTCCAAACTCAATCTGAAGCAACAACCTCGACAGCCATACCGACTTCAACAGTTAAGTGGCCAGATCGGTGTACTCAGTGCTGGTATTTTCTACTCAATTTCAAGATCCTGAGTGCTTGCAATTGCATAAAACTACCTGTTGGACTTGTGTCAGAGATTTGGCAGCCATTTAAAATCCTTTCTTACATCCTCTCTAAACATGTCGCTGCATAATCTGTCTGAATGGAAACTGGATTCAACAACAACAACTTACATTTGTAGAGCGCCTTTCATGTCAGGAGGACATCCCAAGGTGCTGTTTCCACAGGAAACTAAACTTAATTTGTGTTGGAAACTACTGATTATGCTGAACTCAAGAATTTGAGTCTAATCCACAAGACACTCCCAATGCTGGTGAACCCACCTGGCTGTTCATCAGTCACAGTGCAGAAGATAATAATAATAATTGCATTTGATACAGCGTCTTATCATGTCATTGAGATGCCTCAAAGTGCTTCATTGGATATCCAGTGTTCGCACAAAATATGTAGTCAATTCACTTTATAGTATATTCTGTGAAGTGGTTTGAGTTGTCTCAAAGACACGATAAGGAATTATATCAAATATTGAGAGATCCATGAGTGAGAAATTATCTCAAACTGTATCATCTCCTGCTATAATGGAAGTCACGAAGATTTGCATGTCCCACTGTCTGCAAGTAACAAGACTTTTCTTTTAAAAAAATCATTTATTTTGGACACTCACATGGGAAGCTGGCGTGGTGAAACTGCGTGACTGGTTTTACACAGTTGGTTCCTTTTGTTGTGATCTCTTTCTTTTTACGGAACTCTTCGATCTCAAACTACAAAGAAAATACATATTTTAGCATTAAAATCCACCGGTGGTTACAGTTGCCTGGCCCCTTCCCTATCATCTGGTCACACCTGAAGACCTTCCTCTTCGATCGTGCATAAGCACGGTCCCCTCCCCCCGGCTCGGTGTTGTGCTCCACCACTTTCAAGCGCTCTGGGACATAATAAGCTGTAAGTTCCATGTCCCCCGCCCCACCATCGGTGGTCCAGCCTTCAGCCTCTCTGCCCCCACCCTTTGAAACTCCATCCCACAGTCCCGTTGCCTCGCCCTCTCTCCCTTGCCGCCTTCAAGATCTTTCCTTTTCCACCGTGCTTTCGGTCACCCTTCTACCCCACCCCCTCCTGATCCCAACCCTCAGCTCGAGGTCAAATCTCTAACTTGCCTCCCGATGCGAAAGCTGCTTTACAAAGATAATTTGTTATATCAGAGAGCAGGCAGCAAAAAGCTCAGCTGCTGATGGTGGCTCAGAGGAGGCAGGAAAAATAAAGGCAAAAGAGCAAAACCTGACAACATTGAAAGAGATGGAAGGGGAAAAGAAGGGATTTAAGGGTCATCACAGGGATCTTTAAATTGATCTGCTTGAGAGCAGTGGATGGTGAGGTGAAATACTCACATCAGTCAATCTAACGACGTCTGGGTGTTCCACGTAGAAGTTCTTCTCAAATTTTGGCAGGTCATCAAGGTCCCACTTTTTTTTCCTCAGGCGCTCACCTGGCTGTCCGAACTTCTTCCCAAGCGATGGGCCACCACGGCTGAGCCCTCCAAACCGTGGGCTAGCAAAACAACAAACCACATCTCAGAAACAGATTTCCCTCCGGAAATCAGGCACAGACGTTGCTATATGCACCACAATTATTCTGCAGCAATAGACATAAAGCATTAAAATGGTTCAACGTCTCACCCGAAAGACAGCACCTCCAACAATGCAGCGCTCCCCCTACACTGCATTGGAATGCCATCCTTGACAGTATGAGTTCAAGTCCTAATGGGATGTGAACCCACAACTGAAGACATGCCAGAAGCACCTCAAGCAGGAAAGGGGGGCGCGGAGCGTCAAGATATACAAAGTACACAGTCACTCCACTTTACAGTATAATAATCCTTGTATTTGACACAGCGCCTTATCACGTCTTCGAGACGTCTCAAAGCGCTTCACAGGATACACCGTAAAGTAAATTGACTATATTTTGTGGGTGAAACGCGGCAGCCAATTAACTGCGCAAAACAGTTGTGAATTGAACTGTCCAAATTATTATTATTTTTTTCCTTGAGGGATTATTATCGGGTGTGCGCGCGCGCGCAGGACATAAGGAAACGTGCCCAAGATTTCGGCCCCTGCCCGGGAATCGAAACCGGGTCCTTCCGCTTGCGAGGCGAGGGGTCTAACCCTTGAGCGAGAGGGACTCCACAGCGTATCCTGAGAAGCGCTTGTGAGGCGTCGACAACAGCTCGGGCCGGCGGGAGGGAGGGAAGGGGACCGCAGCAATATACGTGGCATAAAAGGGTCTTCAGGCGCGACCTGCCGATGGGGAAGGACGTGACGAGACGCTGTGTCACATGCAGGGATTACCATCAAGTCAGAGCAGCCTCGTGTCTGCGCCATCTGTCTGTGTGTGTGTGTATGGTGGGGGGAGGGGGTGGATCCCGTCACATGACTCCCCCTTCCGGTCCCCGAGGGCGATTGACGGCACGCGCGAGCCAATCAGAGCGAGGGGCGGGAGGCGCCACGCCGGCCAATCGGACACGGAGGGCGGGACGTAGCCGCAACCCCCCCCCCCAGCCCCGCCCTTTTCACTATGGCGTCATGCGGCGGCCGGCGCCAACCGGAACGAGCCCGAGGCCGAGCCAGGGAAGGAGGGGGAGGGGCCCGGTCGGCCCGCGGGCCGCGCGCTGGGCTTGTTTTTTTGAACGCCAACCGCCTGGGGACCGGGGCCTAGCGACCGCGGCGTCCGGTCTGGTCTCGGGGCCGGAGTTCTCTCCCCTCTCCCCACCCCTCCCCCCTCACACACTGCGCGAAACCGAGACCTGGCGGAGGCGGCGGTCGCCATGACGCCTCGGGCCCGGGCTCCGTTTCCGTCCCGTCTTCGTCGCCGTTTTTAAAAAAAAACGTCCCCGTTCACCCCCTCCCGCCCCACCGGCGGCGGGTAGCCTACCTTCCCCGCTCTCTGCTCCGGTCACGGTCTCCGCCGAATCCCCTCATGATCGCGTCCCTTTCCCTCGTTTGGTGACTCGGACCACAAAGAAAAATGCCCGCCCGCCTCCTGGTCCGCCGCGAAGTGGCTGATGGAACAGCCCCGCTCTTTTTCCTTCCCTCCCCCCGGAAGCGCTGACGGGAACAGCCGCTCTCCCCTCCCTCCGGCCTCGCGATCTGCCCGGCAACAGCCAGCTCGCGCCCCGCCCACCAGTCACGGGGGTAGACGTGGTGGATCGTCAGGGGCGAAGTCGACGTTCGGGGCAACGTGTGGACGTCGGAGGTCAACGTCGCCCCTGACGTCCTCACGTATGGGCGTCGGGGTCAACGTCGACGTCAGTGGCTCCTGCACTCTTGACACGTTGCCATTGCCCTGTGTTGTGAGCGGCGGTGGTGGAGCGGTCACTGCCGCCTACTGACCCAAGCGGTCACAAGGCCGTCGGTATCGATGGGCCGCAATCCATGGAGGGGGGATCGAGGACACTATCAGAGAGGCTGCAATACTCGGGAAATTATAATAACAATCTTTGCATCTGATGTAGCGCTTTTCACGTCTTCTCGACGTCCCAAAGCGCTTCACAGAATAGACTGTAAAGTGTAGTGACTGTATATTTGTGGGCGAACGCGGCAGCCAATTCGCACAGCAATGTCCCACAAACAGTCGTGGGTTGAAAATGACCAATTTTATTATTGTTTTTGGTTTTGGAGGGATTATTATTAGGCTCTGTGTGGGGTAAGGAAACTTCCCCAAGGTTTCGCCCTCTGCCGGGGATTGAACCCGGGTGTCTCGCTTGCAAAGCGAGTGCTCTAACCACTGAGCTACAGGACTCCAAATTAATGGTAAACGTAAATTGTTTGTTGTCTCGAAGGTATAGACATAAATAATACTGGAAAGTCGCCTTTACGTCATTATTTCTAAACTAGTTTCTCGTCCTCACCTTCAAGGTCCCCGGGATCTGCGGATCCTATTCTGGATGTGGAGATTTCCATGTGTGGGTGACGTTCATGCCTAACCCTAACCCTAACCCTAAAGCAGGGATGGCTAACTTGCAACCTGTGACTGTGTTACGCAGATTGGCCAATCCTGCTCTAAACCACAGTTATGGGTTTCCACGTGTATCAAGACACCTGCGGACCAAAACATTTCACAAGAGTGGAGTCCTGTAGCTCAGTGGTTAGAGCACTCGCTTTGCAAATGAGAGACCTGAGTTCAATTCCAGGCAGAGGGTGAAACCTCGGGCAAGTTTCCTTACTCCACACAGAGCCTAATAATAATCCCTCCAAAAGCAATAATAAATTGGCCATTTTCAATCTACGACTGTTTGTGGGACATTGCTGTGCGCAATTGGCCGCCGCGTTCGACCACAAATATACAGTCAATTCACTTTACAGTATATTCTGTGAAGCGCTTTGGGACGTCCTCCCGACGTGAAAAGCACTATACCAAATGCGAGGATTATTATTTTTAAGAGTTGGAAGTGACTGTTGCTCAAAGTCACAACTCGGGATTTGAATCCACAACCTTCTGACTCGGGGATGAGAGCGCTACTGACTGAGCCATCTTGACCCGAATGTGATGCAGTCCAGAAACAAATACTTAATTCAAAATTTATTCTCGTAAATGTCAAATGAATATATTTATATTTACAACACCAACATGAAACAATACACTGGAACATTGATCCTGCATTCAAAACCCCTCTTTGTTAATAACTTTATAACACAGGCTGTGAAACCGGCTTAATGTAAAACAAATGAAACATTTACATTATGGCAAAATTGCCACTTTTCCACCTTTCCTCGGCTTTGCTGTTGAAAGCATTTTCTAATAGAAGATATCTCCTAGAGAAATAAACAGAGGTCTCTGGCAATCTCACTGTTATACAGTGAAGCTAAATACGTTGTTGAATATCAGATGAATGAGAAGTCAGGATGTAGACTCAGACAGTGTTGTTGTCTGAGCTTCCAGTCCTCATGCGCAGGAAACACGCTCGAGCACATAAAGCATCCACTCCTGCCAAGAAGCACCAAACAGCATGACATTTGACATCACTATCTGCTTGCACGCTTTCACATTAAACAGAAACGCAGCTGCTGAAGATCAGAAGGAGCAAAACCTGTTCAGACAGATGTTCAAATGAAAAATGCGAGGAGACGCGTCTTGGGAGGGGACAGCAAGCAAAAGAATGAGTTAGAGTGAGGGGAGAGGAACTCACAGCGCAAATCATATAAAGGTGTTTGAAAAACATTGTTCAGTGATCAAGCTGAACTTTAAGATAAGATTGTAACCTTTAACTCACTCACAGTTGACATATATAATGTATTATATGATGTGTTACATAATAATACATGTTAAACAATATATTTGTATATAATGACTTTCTAAATTTAAAGGAAGGATAATTTCCATTTCAAACACTCTTAATAAATACATAAATACTTTACAAGTTAGATTTCAAGAAAAAAAATGTTTTCTCACTAAAAGTAATCGGAATGATTGATAACACCTACATTCACCTCTTTTATCTATACAAATCTCACTCTTTGGCATCAGCTATGCCTCCTGCAGTGATGGCAAATGTGGCTTCGTTCTCTGGCAGATCTGGGCTGGGAGAGAAAGGAGAAATGATCTACCACAGATGTTCCTCATTCTTTAAATACCACAGCCTCTGCACTTCTCTTGCAGCCCAGTGACCACAAGCGCGGTGACTCAAATGATAGGACTTATGGCAGTTTTGGAAGGCAGGGGAGGAGAGGACAAGGCGGAGGAACTTCAGGGTGGAGGCAGAAAAGCTGAAATATCACCCACCGACGATGATAGGACTGTGGACATGAAGCAGGAGTAGGGTGAGGTCGGGTCGGAAGGGTTGCAGGAGATCACAGAGGTAGGTAAGGTGGGGTGGCGTGAGGTCGTGGAGGGATTTGAATACGAGGGTGTGGATTTTGCCGAGGAAACAGGGAAGCCAAGTGAGGATGGGGGGGTGATGGGCTTGCAGATTAGGTGTATATTTGTAGTTAATGCTCCTCTTTGTCTGCACCTTCGGCCACCCTCCTACATCCCCACCCCACCTACTGCTCGGGTCCAAATCCCTGACTGTCCAGTCCATTGGGACGTCCACCCGACAATTGTAATTTTGAGTTGAACGTGGATACTGTAGATGTAAGAGGAGTGAAATGTTCCAGGGAAAAGTCACCTCATCCCGAAACATTACCTGTCGTAGATCTTTGCAATGCGCAGTTCACCCCGGCCTTTCCGCAGACTAATCCTGGTGGTCGAGGCGTGAGCGAGGATATGGCCCCCAATTGGTTTCTTCGGATCAGCTTGGAAACTTGGGAATAAGTCAAGAAAAAAAAACTGATCAGATCAATGAAATAAATTGTTAGCCTCTAACCAAGGCGTCAAGTACGGGTTAACTTCAAGATCCTCACACCTGTGTTCAAATCCTTTCACTCTCTGGAACCTCCTTACCTCCCTCTCCGACTTCCTCACTCCCCAATCCACCACCCAGCGCCTCCGCTCGACTGGCCTCCTGCTCTCCCCTCGCACCCTCCGCCCCACCATCGGAACACTCTTCCTTAATCCCTCCGCCTTGCCCCCTTTCTCTCCCCTTGCTTCAAGTCCTGCCTGAAAACCTTCCTCTTCGACCGTGCTTACAGTTACCTCCCCCATCCCTGGCTTGGAGTCACTGTTAAGCACTGAGATGCTTCCCTGCGTGGAAGGCGCTATACAAGTGCAAGTTGCTGTTGTCAAACCTTCAAAAGGTACATACCTCCATTACGTGTCAGCCAATAACTGCTGTTTTACTCAGAGGAAGGCTCACAAATGTGACATAATAATAGTAATCCTTGCATTTGATATAGGGGCTTAACACATTGTTGAGACGTCTCAAAACTCTTCACAGGATATACTGTAAAGTGGAGTGACTATGTATTTTGTGAGATGACATGGTGTCAACCACTGGATGCCATTGTTGCAGAGATATATGGATTGAGTTTTTTTCAAACCAGATCTGAAATTCTAGAAAGTTGATAAATAATAAATAAAATAATCCTTACATTTGATTTAGCGCCTTATCATGTCTTCGAGACGTCTCAAAGCGCTTCATAGGACATGCTGTTAAGTGATTGAGCGTATATCACAATATTCTACCCACATCCACATACACGGTCACTCCACTTTATAGTATGTTCTGTGAAGCGCTTTTAGACGTCTCGAAGACTTGACAAGACGCTGTATCAAAGGCAAGGATTATCATTAAAGGCACTAGCAGACCTGGCAAGCTGAGACTGCCACAGAGGGTGGACTCGATGCCGACAATCCATTGCCCAGGAAATAGCCAAACTGACCTAAACCGTGTACGTACCTCATGGCTGCTCCTGGATCTGCGGTCATCTGATTGGAGACAAAAACAGCTACGTTGTATTCTGGTAGGAAGAGAAGGAAACGGGAGGATGTATTATTATAATAATAATGCTTGCATTTGATATAGCACTTTATCATGTCTTTTCAAGACATCTCAAAGTGGTTCACAGAATATACTGTAAAGTGAATTGACCATATACATTGTGGGCAAAACACGGCAGCCAATTGCGCACAGCAGCGTCCCACAGTCATGGATTGAGTGACCAAATTATTATTAGTAGTATAATAATAATCCTTGCATTTGATATAGCGCTTTTCACGTCTTCTTGACGTCTCAAAGCGCTTCACAGAATATGCTGTAAAGTAAATTGACAGTATATTTGTGGGTGAATTATTATTTCTTTGAATGGATTATTACCCCCGGAAATGCAATCCGCCAATTGACTAACAACCGGGTTCCTTCTTACTGTTAGGTAAACAGAGGCGCGTGCGTGTGGAATAAGGAAACTTGCCCAACTTTTCTCCCTGCCCGGGAATCTAACCGAGGTCCTCTCGCTTGCGAGGCGAGTGCTCTAACCACTGAGCTACAGGTCTCCACCTATAAATTGTGAAGAGAGAAGGGCTTTGGCTTGAGAAGGGTTGACTCTGGTCCAAGTGCAGACAGAGCATTTAACTAGGCACCTTCTGAGATTTTCTGCAGACGAGAGAGCATCTGAGCCAGTTTCTGCTGACGTTCTGCAAGCTCGCCTCGGCCACTAAAATCCACACGAAACAGAGCCATGATCGAATCTATGATCTGAAGAGCAAAACCCAGCATCAGCAAAATTAGTATACAACGTAGGCCATAAAAAAGGACCTTATAATGCCTTATCATGTCTTTGAGATGTCTCAAAGCGCTTCACCAGATACACTGTAAAGTGAATTGACTGTGTATTTTATGGGCGAAACGCGACAGCCAATTGCGCACAGCAACGTCCGCACAAACTGCTGTGGTTTGAGTCACCAAATTATTATTATTATTTTATTTTGAAGGGATTATTACCTCCAGAAAAGCGATCGGCCAATCGACAACTGGATTCCTAATTACTGCTAGATAAACAGAGGTTTGTGTGTGTGTGGAGTAAGAAAACTTGCCCAACATGTCGTTCTGCCGCGAATCGAACCCAGGACCTCTCGCTTGCGAGGCGAGTGCTCTAATCACTGAGCTACAGGACTCCACAAATGGCTAATGGAAGGGATTGCATGGGGGCTAAACACCTTAACACTTTCCCCCTGGCTGTGTGAGTTCTCTGATAGTCAGTGGAGGATTCACCAATAGACATTCCACCAAATACGGAGCTTGCACCAAAAACTCCTACCAGGAGTTTGAAGATTCCTCCTTCTTCGTGGAATTTGGCAGCTACATAATCCAGCAACTCCATCTGATGTTCACCTGATAACGACACAAGCAACAAGTCACATAATTGAACGCTGTCCGATAATCGCTTTGGGTTTCATTAAGTGGGGATGCAGTTTGATTATTTGGACTGAAACACTGAAATCTGCTTCATTTCAAAGCTGCAGCACTTTCATTATCTCTGCCTGGGGACTGAGATCAGGGCAAGATCAACATTGTGTGTCCGTTCTGCCCGGGGTCTCTGGAACTCCATGTTTTGTCTCCTTCTTCTCTTTGAAACTCATCTATAGACCTATCTCTTTAACTGCCCCACCCTTAAGTGCTGAGTTAGTTGTGTCAAGTGACTAGACATGAGAGGCACTATATGACTATATCACAGCAAAATCCTGTAAGTGTTTTGTGATGTATCAACAACGTGATAAGGTGCTTTATCAAATGCAAGGATTATTAATGATTATTATTGTTGTTATGCAGCGATATCCAGCGACTTGGGACGTCATCCTGATGTGAAAGGTGCTTTACAAATGTCATTTTGTTGTTGTTAGTATCGCTCTTTTACAATAACTAGCAGTGTAAAATCCATGATAAAAATTTGTGTCTCTTATTTTCCCTTTGTCGAACTTCTGAATTACTGAAAGATAGCAATGGGGGAGAAACGTTTTGTGGAAGAAATGAGAATTTGGAAGCGTTGTCTCTTTCCCCTCTCCTTTTATGAAGGCACTAACTTATGCTACAGTTCTATGGGCACCAATTCCCCTCCTGTGAAATGTGAAACGAGGATTTAAATAGAGTTCTTACTGGTATAGGCCCGGGCGTACAGCACATTGTCCAATATTGCTTCTGGATCCAAGTTAAACCGGTCAGCAATACCTCTCAGTCTGTCTGGACGGCTACTGCTGCGTTAAGGATTCAGACATAAGGGAGCTTATTTAACTGGTTATAGCAATCACACACAACACAATAACCACAAGATTAGTTCGGATGAAAAAAATCCTTTGGCCCACTTAAGAACACAAGAATTTTCTAGGCAAAAGACCAAGGTCCATCTACAACAACAACTTGCAGCGCCCTCCACGCAGGGTAGCATCTCAGGGTAACATCTCAGAGAGCTTAACAGTGGCGGAACCCGACTACGAGCTCAGGGCCGGGGGGGCGCGGTGTGTGACCGTAAGCACAGTCGAAAAGGAAAGTTTTCAGGCAGGACTTGAAAAAAGGGAGGGGGGTGGAACAAGGCGGAGGGATTAGTATTCTAGAATTTGGGGGCACAGTGGCTGAAAGCGTGATCTCCGATGGTGGGGCAGAAGATGACTTCCAATATCATGGCACTCACTTGACATGTTGTGTCACAAACTGTATACCCCAGATATTATTAAGCTGCCAGAGATGCATTTCGCCCTCGTCACTCCATCCATGTTACAGAAGATGTGGCAACAGACTATTATCTGCCATGAAAATGATGGCACTCACACACACACACACACACACACACCAATCCTCTGGACGTCAAAATGCAGTTAAACACTTGTACTGAATACAATTAAGTACCAAATTATAATCGTTCTTCAAGAACATTTTAACGGGTTTCAGTTAATTCACTTTACAGTGAAGAGCTTTAAGACATCTCAACGACGTGATAAGGCGCTATATCAAATGCAAGGATTATTATTATTATATTGCTCTGCTCTTCTGACAATGGTTTACACAACCCCAATCATGTTACTTCTTCACCAAAAGCCACACCTTTAGCCCACAAGCGCTTGACAATATTGTATGAAGGATACAAGGTATTCTCTGTGTCGATGAAGATAACTTTTCCTCCGTAGTAGCCGTTAGCACCCGGGATTTGAGCAGTGACTGTGATGAAGAAAATAAAAGATATGCTTTTCAGAGATGGTACAGTTTTTTAGGGTTGCTTCAGATGTCATTACATAAGAACATAAGAGCATTAGACTACAAGATTTATCAGTTTTAAAGTGAACTTACCGCAGAAAGTATGAGACATTTGTGTCTTTCCCGTTCGGAACTCTGCAAAAATAAACGAAACCACATAAAATTACAGCACAGGAGGAGACTCGGCCAATTGCTTGTGTGTGTGCGTATGTATATGTGTTCTGCCTCTATAAAATAGCAACATATAACAACAAATGACATTTACAAAGCGCCTTTCACTTAGGGAGAACGTCCCAAGGCCCTGGACAATCAGGGATTTGGACCCGAACTAAGGGTTGAGTTCAGGAGGGGTGGAGAGCGGGAAAGGTAGGTGGTGGGCAGGTGGCTGAAGGTGCGGTCGAACAGGTTACACTTGAGACTGGCATTGAAGGAGGCGAGGGAAGCGGGACGAGGCGAAGGGACTGTGGGATGGAGTTTCAGAGGATGAGGGCTCTTCACATAGGATAATATCTCAGAGAGCTTCACAAGAACGGGATTGGACACCAAGCAAAAGGGTGGTTTGGTGGGTGGGGGGAGAAGGGCCATAGGCATATACAAAGGTAGAATTTGAGGTGGGACTTAAATACAGAAAGAGACAGAATAGTATACGACCTTGGAAGTTAATGCCATGGTCTCCGTGATTGTTACTGGGACGGTGAATGCTTAGCAAATGCGTTGGTGAATATTTCTGTCCTGCTCACCTCCAAACGCCTCCGTTATCGCCATGCTTTCAATCCCTCCACCCAGCAGTTTGCTGCACAGCAACACAGAGAAATGTTAACGTAGTACAAACACTTTTCTTTACTGTACTGTGTCTTGGCAAGAATTACTGCTGTTGTTTACACTCCACACAAGCATCCATTCCTCCTATTCCCCAAAATTATGTTTCTCTTCAATATGTTTATGTTTTTTGCTTCAACACAGCTTCCGGCAGTGAGTTCCACCACCCTCTTTGTGACAAAATTCTTCCTAAACTTCCTATCAGTTCTACTCCTCGCAACTTACATTTAAGCCCTATAGAAAAGCAACGTTACAAATCAGACTGGATTCAACAGTTTGTCAAATTCTGGGCGCTCTGAAATTTTGCACAGATAAGAGTAAATCTAGAGATTCAGGTGAAAGTTCTCTCAGTCTATTTTTAAAAATGGTTTGGGGTTGAGACTTCTTCTTTAATGCTGATACACTGTTAGACTTCAATTAGACCCTCAATTTTCAAATTACACGGTCCACTTTCAGTCTGAACTTTATATGCCTCAAGACTTTTGTTATTTATATAACAGCCCACAAATATAGTCAATTCACTTTACAGTACATTCTATGAAGCGCTTTGAGACGTCTAGAAGACGTAAAAAGCGCTATATCAAATGCAGGGATTATTATTATTTACAATCAAGACAAGTATAATTGACCTGATAAACCAGATGGCTGCCTTCTGTACTATAATTTCTAATTGCAGTTTAGAGAAAGACCCTTGAATGTGAATCACAGAGGAATTTATTGGAAGAAAAATAACTAAATTGTTTTTTAAATGATGCTCTCACTCAAACTCCTGGCTGCCAGTCGTGATGTGAAACACTGATTTCCTTTTCTCGCTGTATTCAGACGCAGTAAGAAATCCCGGCTCCTGTAACAGATCACGATCCATAAAAAATACTGTCAATTCACCTTACAGTAATATCGTGTAAAGCGCTTTGAGACGTCTCGAAGACGTGACTAAGGCGCTATATCAAATGCGAGGATTATTATCATTATACATTAGGTTCCACAGTTTTCAAGTACAGATGCACAGTAAATGCTCTTACAACAAGTTTGTTGGCAGCTTCCTTGATTTTGTCCACTTTGGCCTCAGAAAGGCCTTTGATGTTACAGAGTGCCCTCCGAGTTGTCATCTGAATTCCCTTGACCGTGCAGATTCCCACACATTTCATTTTCTTAATGTCAGCCACATTCTGTACAAAAGGAAACATCAGGAAAAACTACTTATCGAAGCATTAACAAGCGTTAACAAGTTCTCAGTACTCCTGACAACAAATTGCTACATACCTAATGTACAGGTTAAGCGTGTTAGTCTACACCCAGTGCTTATACTGTGGTATCACGGTGGACCACATTGCAACAACAGTGTGCAACTTGCATTTATATACTGCCCTTCACGCGGGTTAACGTCCAATTGTATGGTACATTTCTGGCACTGACTGGCTGGCTGGCCTCTGGGAATGGCCTGCAGCCCCAGGAATTTGGTGGAAAGTTCATGAGAGAGTTGGTTAGTTTCCAAAATGAGGAGGCAATAAATGTAAGCAGCAGATCTAATAGGGAGTTCAGGAGGAACTTCCTTCTGCAGAGGGTGGTGAGAATGTGGAATTGTGGATTGAAGCATAAAGCATCAATGTATTTAAGAGGAAACTCTAGATAAAGCCATGAGAGGAAAGGCAAAAGAGGAGTATGGAGAGGGGTTTAGGAAGATAGAAGTTCATGTGGAGTAGAAACACTGGCACAGATTAGTTGGGCTGAATGGCCTGTTTCCGTGCCGTAATAGAAAAATAAGGATGATGATGCAACAATAAGTGTTCTATGTAATTAATTGCAGAGAGAACAATTTAAACCCTTTAGTCTGAAAAATGCAACATGAACTATGCCTTTTTGTATTAACCAAAAACCTCAAGTAAGATAGGAAAGTTTGACTGTAACTTTGTGACAAGACTCACAAATTAGATGGTCTATTTATACTTACAATGCCATGTTTCTGTAACAGATCAATGTCTTGGAAGAAAGATTCCTGTAGCAGAGACAGCGATGAAAACACAATGAGAGAAAGATCACACTGACAATCAAACCACATCAAACTCAGCTGTTGTTGTAAAACATTATGTCAGTGATGTTCCCCCTTTTGGTGTTAAAACAATGATCATGGATTTGCTTATATTCAAACTAAGATCTCTTTAGTTTCCAAAAAACAGAGTATTTTGGAGAAAAAACTCATCTGAAGATAGAATTCAAATAAATCCCTTCACATACTACATAGGCCAACCCATAACAACTTACAGCAGTGTGCAGTAAAGGCACACAATGGAGTCCAGGAGATACAGTGCCATATTCTTCTTCAACAATGATTGCCTACAAATACAGTCACTACACTTTACAGTAAATCCTGTGAAGCGCTTTGAAATCTTCTGACATAATAAGGCCTGATATCAAATGCAAATAAGATTATTAATACCAACAATTCTTTATTATTATTATTACTACCTCGTCATCCTGGAAACTAACTTCTTCCTCCACCACCTGATCCTCCATTGCCCTCATGGTTGGAAACACAGCAGCGTTCTCACTTCCTCAGTGACTCGCGATTATTCCTGGAAGTACAGACGGCTCAGGAAGAATAAAACCATTTGTTAACCTCAGAAAATCCACAAGGCACGTTTTAATATGTCAATAATGTGGTTATGCTTCTGCACGTCCCTTGTCCTCTCCGCTCTACCATCAGCGGCCACAGTATCAGCCACTATGCACCAAGAGAGAAAAACTCCCTTTTCTTTTCAAACAGCGCAATGTGATCTGAACAGAGCACAGAAGAGAGTGAGCCGGAGAGAGTGAGCGGGAGAGCGGGAGTGAGCCTGAGCATGAGCGGGAGAGAGTGAAGGAGAGAGAGTGAGCGGGAGAGAGTGAGGGAGAGAGAGTGAGGGAGAGAGAGTGAGCGGGAGAGCGGGAGTGAGCCTGAGCATGAGCGGGAGAGAGTGAAGGAGAGAGAGTGAGCGGGAGAGAGTGAGGGAGAGAGAGTGAGGGAGAGAGAGTGAGCGGGAGAGCGGGAGTGAGCCTGAGCATGAGCGGGAGAGAGTGAAGGAGAGAGAGTGAGCGGGAGAGAGTGAGGGAGAGAGAGTGAGGGAGAGAGAGTGAGCCGGAGAGAGTGAGGGAGAGAAAGTGAGCCGGAGAGCGGGAGAGAGTGAGCCTGAGCGTGAGCGGGAGAGAGTGAGGGAGAGAGAGTGAGCCGGAGAGAGTGAGGGAGAGAGAGTGAGGGAGAGAGTGAGGGAGAGAGAGTGAGGGAGAGTGAGCGGGAGAGAGTGAGGGAGAGAGAGTGAGGGAGAGAGAGTGAGGGAGAGAGAGTGAGCAGGAGAGAGAGTGAGCGGGAGAGTGAGGGAGAGAGAGTGAGCCGGAGAGAGTGAGGGAGAGAGAGTGAGGGAGAGAGAGTGAGCAGGAGAGAGTGAGGGAGAGAGAGTGAGCCGGAGAGAGTGAGCGGGAGAGAGTGAGGGAGAGAGAGTGAGCGGGAGAGAGAGTGAGGGAGAGAGATTGAGGGAGAGAGAGTGAGCGGGAGAGAGTGAGGGAGAGAGAGTGACGGAGAGAGTGAGGGAGAGAGAGTGACGGAGAGAGTGAGCGGGAGAGAGTGAGGGAGAGAGAGTGAGAGGGAGAGAGAGTGAGGGAGAGAGAGAGAGTGAGGGAGAGAGAGTGAGGGAGAGAGTGAGGGAGAGAGAGTGAGGGAGAGAGAGTGAGGGAGAGTGAGAGAGAGTGAGGGAGAGAGAGGGAGAGAGGGAGGGAGAGAGAGTGAAGGAGAGAGTGAGAGGGAGAGAGGGAGTGTGAAGAAGGGAGAGAGTGAGTGTGAGGGAGAGAAGGAGGGAGTGTGTGAGAGAGAGGGAGTGTGAGGGAGGGAGAGAGTGAGAGGGAGTGTGAGGGAGGGAGAGAGTGAGAGGGAGTGTGAGGGAGGGAGAGAGTGAGAGGGAGTGTGAGGGAGGGAGAGAGTGAGAGGGAGTGTGAGGGAGTGTGTGAGTGAGAGGGAGTGTGAGGGAGGGAGAGAGCTGCCCTCACCGTGGCCTCCGCTCTCACTATCCCGGGCCGCGAGCCCGAACGGAACGGAAAGGAACGAAACAAAATGGCGCCGGAACCCCGTCGTCCGCCGAGCGCCGGACGGGCGGGAAACGCTGCTGAACCCCAGGGCGCCTGCGCAGTGCGGGAGGATGGGTGGGGGGGGGAGAGGAGGAACACGTGACATACACCACGGGACCTTTGCCACGTGACCGATCTGACACGTGATCTCTGCCGCGTGACAGACACGGGGATCGCGTGACGATTGGCGGACGATTGAATTTCCCTCTCAAAAAAGTGTTATCGAATCCCCCCTCAACTTTCCAATAAATATAAGGACATTTTTAAACAATTATTATTATTATTAATTTCCTATCCTGCGAAGGCGTCTCAGAGAAATGATCAGACTCTGCGTCGTACGCACGGATTATTATTATTATTATAATTAAATTGTTATTATATTATTACTATATATTGTTCGCCTTCGCTGCTGTCTTATATGTTATATTTGTGCCGCGGTATCACCTCGTCGGGACATCTCAAAGCGCTTCACGGGCTACGCTCGTGGAGTCCTGTAGCTCAGTGGTTAGAGCACTCGCTTTGCAAGTGAGAGACCTAGTTCAATTCCAGGCAGAGGGCGAAACCTCGGGCAAGTTTCCTTACTCCACACGGAGCCTAATAATAGTCCCTCCAAAACCAAAACAATAATAAATTGGTCACTTTCAATCTACGACTGTTTGTGCGACATTGCTGTGCGCAATTGGCTGCCGCGTTCGCCCACAAATATACAGTCAATTCACTTTACAGTGTGTTCTGTGAAGCGCTTTGGGACGTCCTCCCGACGTGAAAAGCGCTATATCAAATGGAAGGATTATTATTATTATTCGCTGCTGTCTTATATTTTATATTTGTGTCGGGGTATCACGTCGTCGAGACATCTCAAAGCGCTTCACGGGCTACGCTGTCAAATGAATCGGCTGCGGGTTTTGTGGGAGAAATGCGGCAGCAATTTTCGCTCAGTGATGTCCCCCTCGTGGAGCGAGTGACCGTTTTGCGAGGATTATTATTATTACTTATAATTATTTTTATTATAAGATCTATATTATTTATAATATTTTTATAAACGATATAATGTCATTATAAATATTAATATTAATATTTTTGGGGTAATATAATTAACCTTAATATCATTTATCATCATTTTTCAATCCCTAATCCTTGCACACACTCTTCACAGTGGTGGTGCCACACTTCTAACACACACACACATGCACACACACTCACCGCTTTAGATATCTTTTCTCCCCGTCCTCCTGTAATTACTCCCAAGTCAAAGACAGCTTTTAAACACGTGTAACTTTATTGTGCGCATTGCAAACGAAAACGAAACATTGGCGGATTAAGTTAAACGGAAACCGTACAAAAATAAATTTCCAGTATCCTTCAAATGCTGTAGAAAATATTTGTATTTATATCCAGTAATAATACCATTCCAAAACCGACATCAAGTATAATGCAAGGATGAGGAACAACAAAAACTTTTGTTGGGCTTTCTCGCTGTAGCAGACAATAAACAATTAAAATAATGAAACAGATTAAAATTACAATCTTTTCCAGATATTATTCAAACTTCGTGCCCTTTTTTGCATTTGGGTTTGAGAGCTTTGGACTGAAATAAAGTACTTTTCCACAGGGAATAGAATCATGTGCCAGAGATGCAATGAATTATGTCGAGATCCTTTACAGTGCGAATCAAGACTTCACTGCAGTATATTGATGTTGCATGAAATCAGTGCAGGGGAACGTTAAATAATAATAATAATCAGGAATGCTGGTACATATTTGTAACAGGTTGAATCCTGCTGCTTAGCACAATGTCAAGGAAGCTTCAGCTATGAAAGTATATATACTTATATATATGTATATACTTACATAAGTATATATATAGACTCGGTCTAAAATACTGAAACAGAACTTTCACGAGAGGGATTTTAAAGAAAATACCTAGTTTCTAAGATGACATCTTTGCATCTTTTTAAAAGAATGATAATCCTGCTACGAATTATATTGATGAATTAATTTTGTGGTAGTGTGAGCTTAACGCCACATCGTGACTTTCCTTTGATTTTAAACTAAAAAAAAACTCAAGCGCTGAGCATCCAAGATTTTGTTAACCAAACCGAGAGATCCACATACATGTGCCACCGACACATGGAAATTTCCCTGCCTCCCGAATGGAATGAAAAGATTTTCTTATTGATTATATCCGAGAAAATGTGGCATCTCTGCGGCTAATCTGTGAATATAAGAACAGTCATTTTCATTTCTAACCCTTTTGTACTTTGCAAAGCGTTTCAAGAGCTTTCTCTTTAGGTGAAAGGCTGTGTATAAAATAAATGCCTTATTATTACAGTAAGTAGTGCTGCAAAATAACAGAGCAAACCCTCTTCGTTGCGCACAGAAGGAATCTTAAAAAGGGGTTTAAAAGGCTCGAAGGTTCGGAGATAACACTGCATTTTTTTTAAGTAAAAAGAGCTTTAACTTGGAGACTAATCAACTTGCCTACATTAACTTCACACTTGCCCAAAATAAAGATAGTCACAAAATACGTAATAGAAAGGAGGAACGTAGGGGTGGAATAGTATCAGCCGTACGATGTGATATGAGCACAGGGGGACCTATAGTCAGTGCGGGTTGTGAATTTCTTCCTTGAATCACCCGCTCCTTCCTACAGAAGATGAAAGGGAAATTATAGGAGAATTATACGAGAAAACCAGGTGAGGGGCGAATGCGAGATTCTTACCTTGTTCACCAAGGGCTACTTACTCAGTTCCGATGCTTAGTCTGGTGTTTTTTTTTAATATCAAAGCGAATTTAAAACCAATACTTGATACACATTTTCATATGAACTGATTTCAGTTCGGGGGCCGATGCTTAATTTATGTCGGGCCAATTTCAGTGCAACTCTACAGTTTCAATTAGTGGAGATACTTCAATGAGGACCTTGGCTAAGACTCTTATCTCCTGACCCCGGACCCCCTTAAGGCATCCGTACAGTGGTTTATACGTTGAAGAAACATTTGCTCCCAGTTGGAATTGAAGCATTTCTAAACCTTGCAAAGTAAATCAGATTTTCTTCCCTAAAATACCTATCTTATTATGGCTTTATACAATCAACCTCTGTGACTCTATAGGAACAGAAATTACCGTGCGAGCGAGCCGGAGCCACAATTATAGTAACAACTACTTTTAGACGTTTGCTGGTTGTCGAAGTAATTAATGAGCCAAACTTTGCAGACAATAAATTATCCCCAAAGGAGCAGGAACCTTCTCATCGCACAGCAAAACTTTAAACGATGCTCCACGTTCCAAAGAATTACAGAAAGTGAAAAGTGGGGAGAGAAAGATTATTCTTGAAGAAGGATTTTTGGAAAAAATTTAACTCCACCGTCTCTCAGAGGCTGCGTTCCTTACAAGTACCGTCTCATGACCATGTCCTCTTGAATAATTCCTTCAAAAATAATAATAATAATAATAAATTGGCCACGCAATCCACGGCTGTTTGTGGGACACTGCTTTGGACGTTTCACTCACAAAATATACAGTCACTACACTTTACAATGTAACCTGTAAAGCAGTTTGAAACATCTCAAAAACGTGACATTTCAAATGCAAGGCTTATTATTATTATTATTATTGCTATTATGTCAAATTAACACAGATGTACCGAAGTATAACCAAACTAAGGAAAATCTCCTACTGTATTAACGTAATGCTTCATATATATTTCTGAATTCAAAGCATCTGCATTATATCCTACGATCCCATAAACCTCACACGTGTCTAATTCACCACCAGAGCAAACCACAATCGGAATTATTGACACACCACAATCTCACTGAGGTCCATGACACTCTGGTTATCGGATTCCTCATCCATTCCCAGTTTGAAACCAGTTCGGGATCGGCCTCGAAACCACGGCCTGAAAATCCCTTTCCCCCCAAAACATGTACAAACTTAAAAGCGGAAACAAAACCGTTAAGAGTTTGTAAGGAAGCAGCTTCGGGTTTCTCCGAGTCGCGTGTAGAATTGTTCTTAACGCACATACTCAGGGACTTCAATGCTGATTAAGCGAGACTTTTAAATCGATATTGTTGTACACACCATCGTGTAAGTAAACGTTTGAACAGTGTGCATTTACAATTGCAGCAATCTCGGAAACGCTGGACCTCGCTTGCCCCTGCGGCTTACAATGGGATCCCTGTGTTTAATACAATAATATATAATTCATATACCGTACTGTCATGCGCCCAGCGAGCCATTGCAGCATTAGATTAGCTTCTGGGAGTATCACTGAGACAAAACAGAAGCTTCACAGAAAGCAAATTGCCAAACAATTGCCTCAGTTAAAATTGGTTATTTCCTTTCGGGCTGTTTCGACATCGCTATGTGCAAATTGGCCTCCACATTTGTCTCCAAATACAGCCATTGCGTTCGACCGGAACATCCTGTCAAGCGGTTTAGGTTTAGGCTTAATAATTGCAAGGATTATTGTATCGTGCGATATTCTTAAGTCAATTTTTAATCATAAGGCTGGCGTTTCCCGATCTCGTCAGAACCGGCTTCAGAATTGACACTGAGTTTAAGAATTTCAAACGCTAAGGTTTAAACTCTTGCCATTTCCCCCCCACCCCCCCCCACGCAATGTCATTAAAGCAGCAATAAAAATCAAACGAACAACGATCGATAGCGAGACATTTCAGGCTTTGCTCAAAACCGTTTAAACACTTCATTGGTCTCAAGAGTTTTGCAAGAGCTGTGCATCTTAACCCCCGACCACCTCTCCCTCTCCCGGACATCAATTTTTCATTAAATTTAAGATGAATTCAATGGAAACAAAGTGCAATAGAATATTAAATAATAAACGTTGTACGCCAATAAAAAAAATCCCTGGAACGTCACTGTAATACTGTACTTCGGCACGGAAATCCATACAAACTCTCACTCTCTGTACAAACATGTAATAATAATCCTTGCATTTGATACACATAGAACCGTAGAGCACAGAAGGAGGCCATTCGGCCCATCGCGTGGGCAGAGAAATTCAAGGCAAACGTCTCTCATATCCCGGCCTTCCAATACGTTGCGTAAAAACTCAAATAAAATCAAAAATAAATAAAAATACACATTCCTCAATTACTGCGCTGCAGTGGATGAAACCCTAATCTCTCGTCAATCCCGAAAGACACTTAAAAGTGCGGTGACGTTCGATACTGCCACGATTAATACTGCCTCGTTTGCCATCAGTGCTTATCAGGGCTGTTTGTGTGTCATTTACACTTTATTTACACTCTACGTCCCTCAGGGTTAGGACTGAGTTCTGGGTGAGGTCTCGCTTATCTCTTGGTTTCAGGGCAAGCTTTTGAGGGGCAGTTTTGCACAGCGATGGGGCGTAATTGGCTGAATAAAACAAACCGTGTTTACTTCCTGGATTACGAGGCAGTTTTTACACAGTCTGCGGTTAACTCAGGTCAAAGAACAACTCCGTGTGGTTACCACATGGTCAAAGAGAAACGCTCAGAGCTACCAAACTACGCTGGAGCTCGGGGCGGGTCAAGCACAGCTGTGGGAGTTTTCAACACAAAATCTTCCCTCCTCTTCGTTCTATTCCCAAATAAACAACCATTTTGGATTTCTGATCAATTCCATCTTGCGGAGGGAGCGCTCTTTCGAGAAGTTATTTGACCAGAAAGGTGCCATAATAACCCCAAATTATTTTTTTATACAAATATAGGTTGCATCTCTGAGAGTCTGAGAATATTCGTCATCTATTGCCATCAAACCCCATCACCTCATTGTCCCACTTTATTCAAAGCTTTGGGGGTTAAACTTCCTTTGTAACTAGTTAGTAAAGTAAATTAGCTGTGGCTTTACGCAGTGGGATTATTACAATGCTATTACTCCATCAAACAGGACAGGAGGTTACAGGATGGTTGGACACCTCCATCATTGTGTGGTGTCGCTCAAGCTGCTTAGAAATAACTTGTATCAGTACTGTTGGGCTTTATCTAAATGTCATTGGTATTCCTATTATAAGAGACCAATCTGCTTGATCTCTCTCTTATCCTCTACTTGATCAACAGTAAAAGGGGTCGATGGGGTTGTGGAGATAACAGTCCCAGAAGCCGGTCTCTGAAATTAAAGTGCTCGCCCTCTTACAATCCAGCCTCGTCTGAGGACGCCTGGTTTGGGGGAATATACCCAATATTAGCAGTATATAGAGGTCCTACAAAGCACTTGAGGGAGCGTTGAGGTTTGCTCTGCTCGCAGAGAGTGGGAGTAAGAACACTGTTGTATCGCTACAACGCTGGCATTTGATTTGCAGGGAAAAATAAGTTCTTTTTCTCTCCAAACTCCCGACGGGTGGGGAATCGTCTGTGGCAGATCAGGCCTGGCAACTAGTGATTAGTAAGAAAATAGCGAAGGCATTTAACGGAGTCTAAATCGGTTGCCCAACTCTGGGACCTGAATAACATCACCAACGCAGAATAATTCACCTTTGCCGCAGGTTGTTGCAACACCACAAAGTTAAAAAATTAGGTCGGCCGTTTAAGAGTGATAAAACTGGACCAGCTGATGGGGAAATCTGTTTTAAATAAAATATTAAATATTGCAGAATAGAATTTCAATCGCCGTTGGATAATAAGACATGCCCAAACATTTCAAACGATTCAATGTGTCCCGCTGTCCTTCGGTGTGGATTACTGGTTTGTTTTTCCCAGCGATAAGTAGACAGAAATACAAGTTGGGGAAATTTCTCCCCACTCCCAAATATTCTTGTCCTGTGACAGAACATCCAGTAGATTTGATTGACTGGTCCACTGACCCGTACAGTAACGCAGTTTATTCAATTCTCAGATAATAACCGGGAAACCCAATAATCCGGAAAATTGGGGCCTAAAAAATTCTAGTTCGGAAATATCTTCATTCTTTCCAGTAAAGTGCTGACTCTCTCTCTCGCTTTCTTTCTTACCGGGGCAGCAAATCGGAGCAGAGCAAAGAGGGCCTGGCAATCGTATGGATCGCAAGAGTAGCTTCAGATGCAGCACGCACACAAAAATAAACGAAGCCCGACTTAGGCCCCGGAAAAGCTGGCGTTAACTATTCCCCCGCGCGGCACAAAGATACATCGGCCGGAAGGTTACTTCGCTGGATCCCCGTGGACACGGAAACGATAGAGACAGGTATATTCGGGGTGACCCCAGTTGTTGCTCACGCGCAGCTCGATGACTCGATAAGCTCCGTGTTCCTCGTTCTGAAACACAAACCCAAAACAAAACGGCTTCACTGTTAGTTTCCGAGAGGGTTTCGTGGACAGGAAACCCGTTTAAAGGATGTGCCGCGATCTATTGAACCGCTTGAACGGGCTGAAGGGTCTCCCTTTGTCGCTGCGGGAAGGAACTCGGCCAATTGGCCATTTTTGCTCTTCTTCCAATAAGCTTTTCAGAGAGAAAACACAGCGTGAAACACTTTTTATGTGGAATTTACGGGGAGTTCAAACTGAGCGCCAGGAAACGGCCCAAACACGAAATAAAGCCTCCAATTATTCTGTTAAGTTTGTTTTCAGGCCTTAAAATTGGCCAAGAAGCCTTTGTAATATTTATAATTACCGCCGCACCTTCCCGTCTGTACCTCACCTTCAACCTTCAAAGCCCCCCCACCCCACACCTCACCTTCAACACCCCCCCCCACCCCAGATGTGAGGACCAGGCCTTTTGGGCCTGAATTCAGTTGGGTTTCATCGCTTTGACCAAGTAACAAACCAGACGTTACCTGGACTGGAAAGATCTGTATCGGATCGGAATCCTGGTCGTATGTGTATCGTCCAATTAGATGTCCCTCCTCCTTGCTCTCGTCGGCCAGACCCTACCCAGCACCGAAAATACCGTTAGGCACGGAAATCAACCCGCAAGAGTCAAATGCTGTGGAATCAGCTGCACGTACGGTATCTCTGCGTGTCGCGTGGGATGGTGCTGCTCCCCCACCCCCCCCCCCCCTACAACATGGCGGGGGGATAAACTCCGCTTTCTACGGTGCTCCACTTATGCGTGAAGCGTAATAATAAAACGTAAACAAAAGTAATAATTGGGGTCACTCAACCCACGGCTGTTTGTGGAGGGGGGGGGGACGTCGCTGGGCGCAATTGGTGGCTGGGTTTGGCCCCACAAAACACACAGTCACTACACTTTCCAATGCGTCTTGTTATTTGTTGCAACTAAATTCACTCACGTAAACGGCAAAGTCCCGCGGAGCGCTGCTGATCGACCCAAGGAGGGCGACCGACTTGGGAATGTGTTCCAGGGTGAAGGCCGTGGGTCTGATCGGAGCTGAGAGGTGGATAACGACAAAGCCTTGGGAACCTTTAAAGGCCCAACAGTTTCCGGGGTGAACGTCCGGCTGTGGGGAGAGAGAGAGAGAGAGAGAGTGGGAGAAAGTGGCAACTTTCAGTGAAAGCCTCTAACGTCTTCCTTCAGGTTTTTCCTTCGTGTTGGTGATACCATTTCATTTCGGCCACAAAACGCACAGTCACTACACTTTACAGTGTGTCCCGTGAAGCGCTTTGAGATGTCTCGACAATGTGTTAAGACGCCGGGTCAAATACAAAGCTTATTATTATTATTATTAATAATAAGAGTTGTATCTAGTTCTCTTGATGGACTAACAGGAAGGAATTAACTCAAGTCCCAAATTCCGTCAAGTCTTAGCCTCCAGCCCTCTGGAACTCCAGCCCAGACCCTCCTCCACCTCGTCCCCTTTCCTGGTCTCCTTCGAGGCCCATCTCAACTTTTGGTCCAGGCTTCTGACCTTCTGTTTGTCCCTCGTCTCCTCGGCTCCACCATCGACGGCCTTCAGCCACTCCGCCCCAAAACCCTGTCACTCTCTCCCTCAATCCCTCCCTCCCTCCTTTACCACCACGCTTTCGGTCACCTTTCCCCCTTCCATCCCTCTCCGACCTCAACTCCCAGCTCGGGTGTTAACCCCTCATCGTCCAGCGCCTTGGGACGTCCTCCCCCATGTGAAAGAGCGCCTCGCACATGCGATTCTCGGGCGAATAAAGCCGTAACTGTACCTGAATGACTGCTCTGGGCGACTGAGAGTAATACCACAGAGGGATCCCAAACAAACTGAGCAGCGCAGTCTTGGTCTCGAATGTCTCGGAGCAGCGAGTGCTGACAACACTGGCACCTGGACATGAGATGATACATAACGTTACGTCTCGAGGCCGGAGGGAGGTTGAGCGACCAAATCAGAGGCCTACGCAACCCGTAGCCCACGCACAACGTTTGACCCAGGACGGGTGGACGGCTGAGAACCTCCCAGCCGTTACGGGGAAGGGGGAGGAAGGGGGAGACTTGAGCGGTCAACCCCAACACCCCAAGGACGTCACAAGAGGTTGGCTAAACTGGGGATCTGTCCACTGAAGCAGAGAGTGAGCGGGGCTGGGGTGGAGCTGTGAGATAAGGTCAATTGGCCAAATTAGGTCAATTCATTAAGCCCGCTCAGGTCTTATTCGAACGGCTCCCTCCGTGAGGGTCTAGGGTGCTTTCTCTTGTACGGATTCTCAC